TCAACAAGTACCCATGACTCTTTACCGTCGACAGGCTGCAGCCATGTCCTGAATTCCTCATTTTCCAGCCACTTTTCTTGAAATTGGCATTTTTCTATACTTTATCTTTTTCGCCTGGAGCTTCTTTTTCCGAACATACGGCTTTACGATCAACTGGAAGGAGTTCCGCACAAACACATGGTACGAGTTATATCTGTTATAATATATCTGACGAAATAGTTTTATGTATAAATGTATATATTTTTTTTAATAAAGCATTCTAAATGCCACTATAATCTAATTAAATGAATTTTAATGCCAATTAAGGCCTTAATTCAAAAAATTATAATTGAATGACTTTTAATGTTTTTTTAATGACCCGCAGAAACCCTGCTTTATTATGGGCCGTTTACGTTTTTATTCATGTTTCTCGCTGAAAGCAGCGCACAGTAATTAGAATCTGAAACTTTGCCTGATGTATTTCTAAAGAAAAAAAAAAGACTTTTCTAAAAGAAATGAAAAGAAAATATTTTTTTAAGAACCCTACATCTAAGCACATCTAAGCACCTTTGCTATAAGTAGTAACACTTTCTAGGTAGAAATACTTACTGCGTCTGAGCGGTAAGTCCAGGGAATCGCCCTGTACACCATCCTGGTGATGCCCGCCTGCTGGCATCGTTGCGCCAGAACCTCGCCCACAGCCTGACACGCCGCAACACAGTTTGTGGAAGCCAGCTCCTTCTTTATGGCCCACTCCTTGGTGGAGCAGGAGAGAACGGGAACAAGCGAGGTACAGGAGAACACCTCCGCCGTGACGTGGTGCTGACTGCGAGTAAACATCAACCTGAAATGATGAAAGAACCAGGAGATGGTCTAAATATTTTAACATGGTGAGTTTCAGGAAAGTTCAACCTTTTTAAATTTAAACTGTTCTTTCATCTGTAACGACTGTTTTCTCTGACCACAAAGGGTTGAATTTATCAAATCCTTCACTTTTACTTCAAAATAAAAAAAATTTCCTCAGCTAGATGCAAATTGTAAATATTCTAACATAACTGGAACAGTCATAAAGATGCTTTTTCATCCATCTAAACCACTAGTATTTAAGAGTTAAAACTACCGCTGAAACAATCGAATGAATCATGATTAATCGATTATTGAAATAACTGTCAACTAAATTAGTAATCGAATAATCATGGGAGTATAGCGACTCTAAAACATGCCTTTAGCTGACAGAGCAACAGAATTAGAGCTGTAATTATGCAAAGATTGTACAAAAATATATATACATTTTGCATTTAAGATAAAAAAAAATTTGCCCTTCAATATGCTCTATGCAGAATTCCTCAAGTGTAAAAGTTTGTTTCACCTGGTTTAATTTTGTGAAAAGACCTCTTTAAAGAATCTTTGGCTATCCAGTTATTAATCGATTAATGTAAAAATAATCGACAGGCTAATCGACTTTTTAAACTTATCATTAGTTGCAGCCCTAAAAAAAACAAATCTCTACTAGCCTTGTTTCTCTCAATACTTGAAATGGTGGAGGTTCGCCCAACATTACTACAACAAAGAGGTATAGTGACTGAAAACCCACCAGCCAATCACCCAGGATACAAATTGGGTCTAATTTAATCTCACCTGCAGATAGAAACCAAAAACAAAAAAAAAAATCTGTCTTTTGCGGAGTGGCGGCCTAGTGGTTAGAACATTGCGCTTTGATTCCTGAGGTTCTGATTTCAAGCCCCACACCTATGACTGACACTCTGGGTCCCTGAGCAAGACCCTTTAACCCCCCAAGTGTTCTTTGGGAGCCACACCATGGCAGCCCACTGCTCCCCGAGAGGATGGGTTAAATGCAGTGAATGAATTTCATTTCTTTGCACTTGTGACCGTGTAATGACAATAAAGGTGAATTCTAATTCTTTTTTTCTTCTGTTTCTTATTTTTCCCTGTAATAATCTCCATACTGTCATAACCAGTGGTGCAGTGGGTAGCAATGCTGCCTTGCAGCAAGAAGGTTCTGGGTTCAATTCCTTGCCCAGGGTCTTTCTGCATGGAGTTTACATGATCTCCCTGAGCGGTTCTCTCCGGGTACTCCGGCTTCCTCCCACATTCTAAAAACATGACTGTTGGGTTAATTGGCTTCTCTGAATTCTCCTTAGGTGTGAGTGTGTGTGTGAATGGTTGTTTGTCTCTGTGTTGCCCTGCAATGGACTGGTGACCTGTCCAGGGTGTACACCGCCCCTCGCCCATAGACAGCTGGGGATAGGCAGCAGCACCCCTCGCGACCCCGCTTGGGATAAGCGTGACGGAAAATGGAAGGATGAATTTCCATACGTTATACATGATTATACTAACTTACCTACAAATCTACTCTTGCACATCCATATTCATGTCTTCATATGTAAAGAAACTGTAACCGATATGGCCCCATGTTCTCATGCAGGTACGGAGAGTCAAAACTGAACTGGATAAAAAAGCTTTTAAATTCTTCACCCCATCGGCATGCTATAATGCAGAAAAGGACTTGGAACAAAGAAGTTTTATCTCTGCAGGAATTCAAATCTTTAATAAATGAAAGATAAAAAAAAAATAAAAATCACAACTGGATGCTGGTACAGCACTTTGTAAACTACTCATCTTGTCTGTAAAGTATTTCTTCTATGGGTAAGATTTATACTTGTATAATCCCCTAACAAACATTTCAATAG